TTTTTTTAAGAATACATAATTTTATTATGGATTTGGAGCAAGTTCTTAAAAAAACAAGATTTCAACAAAAAAGAAACCGGCAGTAGACAGCTCGAGAAAAACTTTTTGTAATTGCTTATCTTAAACATGTTCCAGGTCCACTGTTCGTGGAACAGCAGACAAATTTAATATTCAACTGAAACAGATTCGGAAATGGCGTAATAAAGAAGGAGAACTATTGCTAGCTTAACCTCATATTAAACGTTTAAATACTGGTGCATGGCCCGCTTACCCTAATATTAAAACTGAGCTTGCTAAGTAGGTTCAAGACTTACGCAATGAGTTAAAGCCTGTAAGTTGAACCATGGTGCAAATAAAAGCAGCTTCTCTGGCAAAATTATCACAGTATTCTTCTGAATACCCAAATATTAATCAATTTAAATGGAGCAATAAATGGCTTGATGGGTTTTTACGACATTATAATTTTAGTAATCGTCGTAGAACAACTGTTGCTCAAAAACTTCCTGAGGATCTAGAAGTACAATGGCAAAGTTTTTTAAGTTTTGTTCAATATCACCGAATTCAGTATAATTACCCATTATCACTAATAGGTAATATGGATAAAACACCCCTTGCTTTCGATATGCCAAGCAATGTGACCATCGATAATATAGGAAATAAAACTATTGGCATTAGGACTTGTGGTCTTGAAAAATCATACTTTACTGTTGTGCTTGCTTGCATGGCGGATGGTAAAAAATTACCACCTATGATTATTTTTAAGCTAAAAAATATTCCACATCTTGAATTTCTAACCGATATAATAATTAGAGCTAATGAAAAAGGTTGGATGAATGAGATGAAAATGAATTATTGGGTAAACACAGTTTGGAATAATCGTACACTATGTGCTAAAAACCCAAGATCTCTACTTGTAATGAATTCTTTTTTGGGTCACTTAGTTCCTTCTGTTAAAAATAATCTTTTTAACAAAAATACTAATATCGTGATAATTCCCGGAGGATTAACATCAAAAATTCAACCTCTTGATGTATCAGTTAATAAGTCTTTCAAAACAAAGGTTTTTTTTTTTTTTTTTATCTTTAGCAGTGTTGCTAAAAGACATCATCGGCACTCATGTATACATCATTTATTTAATAGATTAGGTCTATATATAACAAATAGATGGCACAAGAGATCAAGCAGTTAACTGCGACTGGTAAAATAAAACACCCATCTTATAATACTGTTGCAAAATGGATTAAACAAGCATGGAATGATATTGATATCCAACTTATTCAATAGTCTTTCAAATGTTGTAGAATATCAGTTGCAAATGATGGATCGGAAGAAAATTTACTTTTTGATTATGATTTAGTTGAAGGATATAAAGCCAATGAATATATTTTTAATTATAATGAAAGATCCGATTTTACAACCTCAACCTATTTAGATTTCTCTTCCCAACAACATTTTTTACCTCAAAGTTCTTCATCTCAAGATCCTCCATTCCAAGGTCCTCTGTTTCAAACTCTTTCGCTACAAAGTTCTCCACCCTCAAGTTTTCCGCCTCAAAGTTCCCTGCCTCAAAGTTTCCTGCCTCAAAGTTCCCTGTCTCAAAGTTCCCCACCTCAAAGTTCTCCACCTCAAAGTTCCTCGCCTTAAAGTTCTCTGCCCCAAAGTCTTAAACCTCAAAGTTTTCTATCTCAAAATTCCCCATTTCAAAGTTTTTCACCTCAGGGTGTCTTATCTCAAAGTTTCCCGCCTCAAAAGCTTCTGCCTCAGCAATACTTACTGTCCCAACAAGGTCCTCCACACCAACAGCCCCACTTCCAACAGAACCTCTTACAGCAAGACTATCCGGCTCTACAATACTTTTTACCCCAACAATCTTTAACTCAGGATGTAGAATTTAAATAGTATTATGTACAAAATGAAGAGAAAAACTTTGTAAATCAATGGGCTTAATAACTTGTAATCACACAACAAAAGTTTCAAATAAACTTACCACTATTTGCATTTTGGATAGAATAGATCGGTTCTTTGGTTCTAATTTTAAAAAAATATATAAATAAAAAATAAATAAATAAATAAGAAATAAAAATAAATAAATAAATAAGCAAAAAAAAATTTCAAGCTTTGAATGCAATAATAGTGTAATGTTAATATAATATTGTGTAATATTGACATAGCGATAAAAAAAAATTATAGTTTTTAGCCAATCAGAATTCACAATTATGTTGTTGATTCATATCCAGGTCTCTTACAAAATACCATGTTCAATGACCTTGAATCATATCCGGTCTAAATCAAGAGGAGTCTAAATCAAGGAGGGTACCTTGCACTGCGTTTTACGGTAGTATAATTCTGATACTTTAATATACCCTTGCCTTTTCACTTGCCTTTTTACCAAACTTCCAATCCAGATAGCTTGTGTAGGACTATAACCAGTCCATCGGTATATTGAGTCAGCCTGATATCCTTTTCCTCTAGTTCATTCTGGCAACCTGGTTGGTGGTATCTCTGAGACTCCCAACCTAAAGGTTCTTGCCTGTCTGGCTACTATGACTAGGTATTATGATCTTGGTATTTGTTTCCTTAGGCTAGTCTTTACAATAGGACTGTTAAAGATCCAGCTACTTCTCTACTTAGGTCTTCCCAAATGGACTTCTTGTTACCCAATTTCAAATGATTTATACAGCCACAAGGACTTATCTAGTATTTGCATTACCTGATTTGTCAATTTGCATTCCTTTGTATAATGCCATACTTACACAGATGCTCTATGACCTGCCAGTCATGCTGGTGTAACTGCCATTACAGATATTCTAACCTAATCATTAGTAACAGTTGCCATAATATGAATATTACATAGGTGATTATTCAAATTTTCGTTGTCAATGGGATTTGAACACCCAACCTACCACTTGGAGAGTTGACAACCTAACCACTTCACTAGGTCACCACATCTCTGAAAGGCCAAAGTTAAACTAAACAGTACTTAAGTATATAAGAACTTGTATGCTATCTGTAAGATGTAGTATAAAAATTAGAATATTTAATTAAATAATCTTCTAGCAAATTACAGATATAACAACTAGTATATAACTTGTAAACAAATTACTTAAATAGGTAACCAAAAGTTACATGTATAACTAGTTGTATACTCACCTTATACAAGTTATATAATTATAATTAAAACACAATAAAGGTAATAGCTACTAATAACTAATAACTTTAGTAAAAGCAAAAAAAAATTATAACCAAAAACTATTATACAATATTACCAATTTTAGACTTAATTATCTAAAAGCTTTTAAAACAAAAATCATTCTTAATTAGTTATCAACATATTTACTATATTATATTATTTATTCAAACCAATTTTTAGATATTATTTGCTTTTATTACAACTTATCTAATTCTTATTTTATTGGCATACTTGTATTAATAAATTTTTATTTAATTGAATTATTTAAACTTTTATTAAAAGACCTGCGGGTCAATAGTGCAGTGGTTAGCACTCCCAGGTCGCATTCGCAAGGTTGCCAGTTCAATTCCAACTG